CTGTTTTACAGTAACTCTAATATACATAACTCTACTGTAGAAAATCAAAAAATTATTTCAGGCTCAAATTTTTGCAACGAACACTGAGCCATCGAAACTCACTACTGTTCGACGGCGTGTGGGTTAGTACTAATACGTGTTGGGCTTATTCCAGCTCAGACTCACCTGGTTCTGACTAGCTGGGATCATAATGAACAATGGGAGAATAGTTAAACACATAAAAATAATAAATCTCGTAGGATATATCGGCAGAAAATCAGCATTACACGAGTTGTATTATATCTATCGTGTTTTTGTGAAAAAAGGGCTCTTTTTTATATTTTGAGGTATAGCAGTGTCAATATCACAGCTTAAACTCGGTAAAACACAATATTTTCGTTTCCATTCAAGAAATTTTCTCAAATTTTAGACAACTGCAATAATTTACATAATAACTTTTCAGTTAGAGCAATCGGACGGAATCCGTTACGAAATTTACTTTCTCTGAAATTGTTCAGTATACTTGCAATCAAATATATTTTCAACAATTATCGCTCTATTAGGCAGAAAAAAACTAGTTATTTATCTTTCTGTCGTATTTTCTGAACGAAAGCTCGTATAGAGTGTACGTACATCTTAAAATTCTCAGCATACCGTTCTTTTTAGTTCAGAAGTCTGAGCATCTCGTTGTCCACCAAACCATGAAAGCAACAAATTGAAAACAGAACGTAACAGAATTTCGCTGCAGTAGCAGAATTAACTGGGCAATCTGTGCATTATCCTTACAGCACACTTTGATCAGTTAGATCAAAACTGTCCGAGTTATTTCTTCCTTGAATTGAAAAAATGATGCCAAGCGACTTTATTCTCAATTTATTGTGGAATGTATGTATTCACATCATCGTTATACTCCATTTCATGTGCTACACCGTGAACTTCAATAATAGTTTCAGAACACCGACAGAAAGTCCTTTTAGACTTCGGGAATAATGCAATGTTTCGTGCTATTAAACTGACAACAAATATTTAATCGTGAGTACTCTTTTCGTCTTAACGATGATGTGAATACATACATTCCACAATAAATTGAGAATAAAGTCGCTTGGCATCATTTTTTCAATTCAAGGAAGAAATAACTTGTGATCTAAGCTTAACATTTATTTTGATGATGATACTCGTATTTGTCTTTTAGATATTTTTAAATATTATTTCGAATATTTTTCATTGCTAGTCTGTGTTTTATTTCTTGTTGCGTACTTATGAACTCAGCTGGTTCTGTTTTCCTTTGATTTTTTTACTGTTTTTTCTTTTTTTTTGTATGATTTTAATAAGAGATGAAATGAAATGATATGATCTCAAATTTTGAAATAATGTTGTCAGTTTTGATAGTCGTTTGTTTTTCTAATGTTATATGTATATTTATTTATTTATTTATTTGGATATAATGATAATTGCTGTGTGATTTGTATAATGTATGAATTGTTCTAGTACATTCTTCAAATATTGTCTTACTATTCATTGTTTTTAAATTTAAATGTTTTCTATGTTTAAGAAATTAAAACGAAATAAAAACAACTCAATTTTCCCTATCCGAGTTGCTTTTCGCTGAAATAAAAATCAGTAATTCAATTGATATCTAAGAATAAGCAGACTAGTAACCAGTTGAACTCGTTTTGTGTAATTACTTAACATAGTAGAAAGATTTATGGCTATGTAGTGTACGATGTGATAAAATATTGATCAGTTACTAGAAATTCTTCTTTTATTTATTTGATTAGATATTTTTGTATTTTGTTTGTTTGTTGTTATCAAAAGAAAAAATGATGAAGGTACAGTTGCTTGGTTAAGAACAAGCGAGAAAAAAAAAATAAATATCGTGCTGCTGGATGGGAAACAATCTATGTAACATGCGTCAAAACATATACAATGTAACAGTGGCGTAGCCAGGATATTTTTCTCTTGCGTTCTCTGCTGTGTTTTATGGGCAACGCCCATAAAACACAGCAGAGAACGCAAGAGAAAAATATCCTGGCGACGCCACTGCAATGTAGATATCTACTAAAACGAAACATTTTATGTTTCATAAAAAGAACTGAATCTCTTTAACTCCTTTTTTAATTTTCTTGACTATACGTTCTTTTTTAAAATAATGTAATAAGAAATACAACACTGTTACAAATAGGATATTTTCAAATCATAATAATAATGATTTATTATTGATATTTCGACAATCTACACGGTAAACGTGCCGATCTTTGACACGTCGACATTATAAAGGAATTTCTACGAATTTAAAAAATTTCATTGAAATTTCGACAAATATATAGAAATTCCAATGAGATTTGTAGAATTTTAGAAATTATTTTGAAATTTTAACAGGGTTGTCAAAGTTCCACAAAAAAAAAATCACTATACAAAGTAGAAATTTCAAATGCATTTCTGCTTTTGTCAAAATATGTCAAAATGTCAATGCAGAAATGTCCAAATTCTAAAAGCAAATTGGAAAGTAAATTATCTACACGGAATAATCAAATGACAGTGTAAGTTTCCAAATTATACGATCATTCCGGGTACCTCTGCTACCGGAAAACTGATTGCATTACCATTTTTAGAGAACTTCAAAACGTTATTACTTTTTGAGAAAAAGTCGTGAAAAGTTGCAAAACTTCTTATTAAAAAGATGTGAAGTTCTTCAAAACTGAAATTAAAAAACTTTCTGAAAATTTTTCGTTCGAACGATATATCAAAGGTACTATTTTGATAAAAATCTAGGTGAGACATCTCTTTTTTTGCTTCACGGTATTGTCTGAACGAAAATTTTTTAGAAGTTTTTTTGAATTCAGGTTTGAAGAACGTTGCATCTTGTTTTTAATGAGAGATTGTGAAACTCTTCACGACTTTTTGTCAAAAATTTATAATGTTTGGAAGTTCCGTAAAAATAGTAATGCAATCAGCTTTCTGGTAGTCGAGTTACGTGAAATGATCGTATAAGTCATACAAAAAAGAGAAGTACATGTTGTTGTTTTATATATATGATCGACCATATGTTCTTTAGAATATTGTCTTTCGGGCCGATAAAACTTGTCTTCAAAGAGTATAATTTTTAACCGAAAACTGTTAGTTTAATTTGACTCGATTTATTGATTTATCGAAATTTTTATGTGTCAGTATGGTCGTGATCATATGTGTAAAACAAAAACATGTATTTCTTTGTTCTTTACTAGTTTTTATGACTATAGTTTGAAAAGTTACTGTCATTTGGTCATTCTGATGATGATGAGTGTAGATCGTCGAAATATCAATAATAATAATAAATAAAATTCTTATTACATTATTTTAATTTTAAAGGTTTTTTTTTGTATACAACAACTTTATTAGTAGAAACGAAGGATTGACAATCTCTGTGATTTCACTGAACTAAATTCTACACGGACAAATTGCAGACACTTGATTGACTTTCTCATCATTCTTTTCAGGAAAAAAACAACAACGATTTATTGAACCTACATGTTGGTTTTAGGTTGTATCTTGACCATCCGTCTTAACTATGTGATCTACAATATCGATTAATGATTGAATAGTTGATGAAATGATCATAATCCGTGAGAATATTGTTCAAGATATAAATACTAACAGCAATTATTTAAAATAAGACGAAACGTTGTCTAGTCTATGGGAAAAATTTTGTGTTTGCCTTATACAAATGTTAAAGTTGCTTCTTTACAAAGCAAAAAAATTGTTTGTATTTTTCTTTAGATTGTTTTTTAGAGCTGACTCGATCGACACACAGAAGAAAGTGGAGACGCGAATATTAGTTTACGTTTTATACCTTGGAAGATCAAATATTTTTCTATTTTTTGACTTTTTCTGATAGCTTTGAAGACCTGAGTTTATTTTTTAATCTATTCAAAAAGAAAAATTTTTATTCATTCTCTTTTACTTTAATTTTTCTTCTATTTATTAAATACTACAGATTATTGTTTTTTAAAACAGTATGAACAAAATCATTTATACTTTACCATTATTTGCCCTCATCTTTAAATTGATAATTGACAGTGGACAATTGAGAAGAATTAACACAATTGGATTAGATAAATGTCAATTGATCATACCAGATAATGGAGGTAAATGTTATTGTACAAAACATAAAACTCAATTTGGTATTTAGTTTTAGTTTTTCAACCGTTTATCAAGTTAACAGATTCATTTCTGAAAGAATCAAATAATAATACCAAGACCGTTTTTGATCTTTCTCAAGGATCTCGCTAGATGGTTTCGTTGAAGAAAGATAGCTAAAAAGCGGATCTCGCGAACTGTCACGTTACTTTTTCAGCGAAACCTAATAGGTTATAGGTTATCAACTATGCTGAATCCAAATATCATAGTGGTAACTGTCCAGGGGCTGTCAGAGAGCGGTTTTATGGAAAATCAATTTTTCAGAAACTCTAAAAAGTAACTAAAATCTTTCTTAATGAGACATAAATGTAGCCCGCAAATTTGTGATTAAAATGAGACATCTTCTAGCTCTACACGACCTTTCTTTGCAAAGTTATAGAAAGTTATAGAAGAAAAGCCCTAAATGTTCATTGTCAACTCAAAGCTATAGAAATAGGAAATTAATTTAGAGCTATTTTTGTAAATTCTATAACTTTGCAAAGAAAGGTCGTGTAGAGCTGGAAGATGTTTCATTTTAATCAGAAATTTGCAGACTCCAATTATGTCTCATTAAGAAAGGTTTTAGTTAGAGTTTCTGAAAAATTGGTTTTCTATAAAATCGCTCTCTGACTACCCCTATGATATTCGAATTCAGCATAGTTTTGATTTTACCTTACTTCGTAAGACACGACAAACAACAGAACTGAGTGAAGATGTTATTATTTCTTGTTCTCACCGAACAAAGAATGATAACTTTCACATATTTGATTTATCCTTTATACATAAATTGTATCTGGTCACATTCGTTGAGACAATTGTGATAAGTTCACAGTGAAGAAAGATAAATCTTTCTTTTAACGAGTCGGATGGGTGAGAACACCTCTCAAGATCAAACTGTAAGTACAGTGTTTTGCACAATTGTCTCAATGTTTGTTGAGCGAATGTGACTAGATACAGTTTATGTTAATGGGTAAATCAAACGTGTGAAAATTATCATTCTTTATTCAATAAGGTTCACTCAGTTCTGTTACTTATCGTATTTTAACTCTCATCTTTCTCAAAAAACATTATTTGCCGAGATTCTTGAGAAAAGTCGAAATCGATCGTTAAATCTTCTTTTGATTCTTCCAGAAATGAGTTTCTATTTGTGTGTCTAATAATTGATAAGCAATTGTAAAATGAAAATGAAATGAAAATATTATTATATTTATGAAATATATTAATCAATTATTTTGTACATTTTTAATTAGTAGAAGAAGAGAAAAAACAAAATTTTGGCTTTGAAGATATAGTTATTGATTATGAAAATGGTTATGCGATTATGGGTGGTGATAATCGAGAATGGATGGCTCATTACACATTACCATCCGTTGATAAACATGGACAAATGTATAAATTTAATTTTATATCTGAAAAATTTGAAATAATACCGTTAATTAATTATCATTATGATCATTTTCATCCACATGGTCTTAGTCTATTAAAAAACAACAATAATAAAGAACAACAGGTATTTATAAATATTTTCAATTAATCAATTGATTTATGTCTATATATTTAGTTGTTTGTCATCAATCATCGAACGGATGATGATAATAATGATAAAATAATTGAATATGTTGATATATTTGATGTTCAAATTGATGAAAATACAAATAAAATTCAATTAAAACTTGTTCAATCGATTACTGATCCATTGTTTACAGGTAAGATATTCTAGTTCATGCCCGAACCCCGCAACACTTTTAATAAAAAGTGTGCCATACCTATATCCCCAAATCCGCACATAATTACATAAATTTGAAATGTACATGATCACAAATTTCATACACTTTTTAATTAGCAATAAAACATTGACTGTAAGAATTAAAAGAATACATATATTCTTAATTTGATTTTTCGTCCATATAGCGATACTTGCCCGTATAAATCCCTTTTTCAATATTTCTGATATGATGCTATCGATGTGAATTATAAAAGTAAACTTGTAAACTACGCTGACTAACTAAACTACGGTTAGTTAGTAGTAAACTTGTAAACTACGGTTCCAATTTCAAATTCCATTTTGTAAAATATTTGTTGGATACACATGTATTTTTATATAGAGAATATATACTTTTTTTCAGGAATTATTTGATTAATCATTTTTGATATCCAATTTCTCCAACAGTTTCCCATAATTTCTTGCTTTTTACTCATTTGTCGTATCAGTCATCATTTATATTATTTACACAGCACTTAAATTATGTTCAAATAAAGAAGTGTAATCGTAGCTTTTCACTATACGGATGACATATCACAATCAAATTAAGAATATATGTATTTTTTTATTTCTTACAGTCCATGTTTTATAGCTAATTAAGGGTACCCTCCTCTTTTTTGCAGAAAAGTTGTCATTTTAAGCTGGACATAGTGTAATGTAGAGGAAAGTCTGGGCTATAAAATGAGACCATTCCTAACTCTCCATGGCCTTCCTTCAAAAAATTATGAACTTTTTAATTTTTTCCTTCAGAGCCAAGAAAATCTCAACTTTTTAGGTTCGTAAATTTTTCTCTCCTTTCCTCCCATGAAATAATTTTGATACCCTAACGCAGGTTAGCATGCGTTAAAAAAGAAGTTTTCGAGAAAATTGTGTTTGAACGGGTTAAATTTTCAAATATGACGCGTGCTAACGTTTCGTCGGAGCGGTAACGAGACAGATCCGGTTAAATATGGTTCTAAGAAATTTAACGAGTTTGCACGCATTCAAATTTTCCAAAAATCGATGATATACGGTGTAAACGCGTTTAAAAATAAAGAATACATGTACATTCCTGAATAAAAGTTTATCTTAACTCGTTTAAACGGGTTAGAATAGATTTTAACTCGTTAAAACTCGTTCAACGATAACTCACTAAATGCGTACGCGTTTCAGTGCGTTAGAACGGTAATTTTCCAGTCACCCTTTTGTTTTGCATGACCAACTCATATATAAATATATAAATGCTTGAATACGGTTGTGTTATCTACGATTCCACTTTTACTTCTTATCTTGAAATTTTGGATAAAATTCAGCGCCTTGCTAGTAGGATCCTTTCACAAGATTTCAGTAGTTCTTCTTCTTCTCTACTCAAACAATTTAAAATTCAACCGCTATCAAACAGACGTCTATATTATCGCCTTCTCTATTTCTATAAAATTTTCAAGCATAGAAGTCCTCTCTCCTCTTTTGATCTGATTTCACGGTTAACGACGCGTCAAAGTTCTCGATTAGGCCATGATAGTCGCGTGTTTGTTCCTCGTTTAATGTCAAAATCTGCATCTAGCTCTTTTCTTCCGCGAACATCAAAAGATTGGAATGAACTACCTTCTGTTTTGGCCTCTCAAACTTCTTTAGCCACATTTAAAAATATGCTGAGAGGTTACACAGGCTTTTAATAATGTATTTTGTTTACTTTTTTATATTTTTAAATTTTTAGTTTTAGGTTATCACAGGGTATCCACGGATGCCACAAGTCTCTTGTTCTTTTTTGTGATATCCCGCTCTCTTGAGTAAATAAAATCTTATCTTATCTTATCCATATGTCAATAAAGAAAACTTATGCTAGAGCTCTTAGTCTACAGAAAACGATTTCTGAAAAACGAGATTTTCGATATACCCTAACGAAGTTGAAGTTCCTTTTGTTTTTTCAATTCTTTCATTGAACAACCTGTTCAGTTCTCTGCAATACGAGATATTAGTCAACGTTCTACGATATTGGACAACCGAGTTACAGATTGTATAATATTACTCCCACTCAGTATTCAAAAACTTTCGCTTAACTACTGAATATCCCATCTGCATCGTATTTTCTGTGGTATGTTTTTGAATAACATCGCCAAAATTTGACTGACATCTCATTTTGCAGAGAATTGAACGGGCTGTTCACTGGAAGAATTGAAAAATTTTTTGAAAGAAACTTCAGTCGTTAGGATATATAGAAAACCTGTTTTTTCAGAAATCGTTTTCTGTAGACTGAGAGCTTTTCTAAGTTTTCATCTTAGAAATTATATAGAGTTCGATGTGCTCTTTCATTTGGAACCCAGCCCGCTCTTCTACGATAAGGAGTGCGGTCAGAAGACGTTTGAGAAGTTAGGCCAAATTCGCTAGGAAATACTTATTGAGTGAGAGTACTTATTGAAACTCACTTTTAAACACTTTGGCCAGGCTTCCTTCCAATGTCACATAGTTCATTTTGTAGAGAATTATCTGCTCTACAAGCTAAGCTTGTTGAATTTTAGAACAACTGGGTTTGGCTCCGTTTCATTAAAGTAGTTTTAACGGAAAAAACCGAGTTTTCCGACTTTCAAAATTTCAATAAACTAAATTATTTTCACTACTAGATTTCGAAGTTGACACTTGATAAATAGCCTGTTTTGTTTAGTTTTTTCCGTACTTTCGATTGATATACAGTTCAAAATTATAACGCTCAGAACGAAAGGAAAAAGATTAAAATACAAAAACATGCGACTTCTGATCGGTTTTTGAGAATTTTTCGCAAGACTCTTCGTAAAACTTTCATAAATCGGTAAGAAAACGTTTCTAAGGCTTCAAACTTTCGATTTCTAAGTCATTTTCATCGGAGATCGAATGAACATGGTCGCGGATAAAACTAATTTTTTACTGGATAAATCATTTTTCTATGCATGCCCGATTTTCAAGCGGACTGTCTCTCAAGACAAAGCACCAGAAGCCTTACAAAGATACATTCGAATGCCAACAAGGGGCTATTGCACAACACGGAAGTATTCTAGTGGCTCACTCTTATGCACAGCCACGTCCATCCACCCGAAACCGCCTCTCATAAACCGTCAAATTCAGAACTAATTCAGCATAACACTTTGAATAACACGTTTATGTAGTGTATAAGTGCATTTTGGACTGTCATTGGCTCTTGCTGTCAGTTTGATCGGGTGTCAATACCCATTCCGAATTTACATTATGAAAAATTCGCGGAACAATCGTGTCACGCTAACTGACACCTTCTAAAAGTGGCACATATCACCGGATCGAAAAATTTCAAAAGCTTGTTCGGTCGAAACCGATTGTAGATTCGTTTTCTCCATGGTTGATTATGTGGTACGCAATAACTTTTGGATCGGGGTACTTTAGAAAAAAATTTTCCCATGGTCTTGCTCAAAAATTTTTCAAAATGTTACCGTATAGAACCAAAGGCAAAACGATGTCGAAAATTTTTTCTAAAGTACCCCGATCCAGAAGTTATCGCGTACCACATAATCAATCATGGAGAAGACGAA